AAAGCTGACAGTCTACTGTTTTAAAGCACAACTTGTGAGTTTCATTTCAAATCCATTGTGGTGGTGTATAGAGCCAAAAATGTTAGAATTGTGTCGATGTCCCAATATTTATGGACCTGACTGTAGACTGTGCACTTTGCAAGTTCAGTTGCTCCAGAGCTTGGTAAATGCGGTTAAAGCTTCGCTTTACAAAAAATACCCAATCACATCCAAGGGAAAAAAGATGGCGTTTTTGCTTGCACATGAATGGATGATGAGAGTCAGCAGAGCTCCACTCCCCCTCATTTACTAAGCTCTGGAGCGACTGCAGTCCATGTGCCTTTAGTAAATCAACCCCATAGTCTTTTTACTATAAGCAAGAACGGAAACAATTGGGGCTCATGCATAAAACTGCGAAAAGAAAAAAAAAAGCATCAGTACAGCATTTTTTAATCCCAATCTGTGTATTGTATTCTATGGGTCCTTGCACACCGCTTTGTAAAGACCACTAAACCTTCAGAAAACTCTGTATCTAAGGTCAGTAATTTATACATCGAAGTGTGTGGACTTGTGTAATTATTTTTTAAAATTTCTTTTAAGATATTTTGGGCATAGACATTTACTTGGGTGTAATTACAGACAAAGGGAAAAATTCTGAAAGTCGCACATCTCTGCAAAACCTCGTAGGGTGTAGGACAGCCTAAGCCTGGACTCCAACCAGGCCAAGCCCCCAACGAATTTCACTCTACCCCACAGAGCTTGGTCATGGGGATCACCATGGCTAATAAATTCTGTGAGCAAAGTGAAACGTGTTGGGGCGTGGCCTGGTTGTAACCCGGGTGGAGTCTATCATACACCTCCTTACAGAGGTTTTGCAGAGATGTGCTATTTCCATGACTTCTCCCTTTTCCACTTGATGTCTAGAGCTGAGATGAGCTCTATCCTTGTCTGCACTCCAAGCAGTTGCTACATAAGGGGACCCAGTGGAGTCTTGAGTGGCGCCGGTCAATTGTTTGGGTCTCTGTATTTGGACTATTACATACGTTTTTAGGCAGGATTTTCCTGACAAGATCCTGCATAGAGGATCAGTCCCTTCATAACAGTTGGGTGTATGAGTTCTTATGGAGATCGGGAGTTCTGCCTTTCTAATGGCTTCTGGGTCGGTGACTCAACATATTGATGATAAATCCAGGAAACCAGCATTCTTAGAAGGTTAATGATGGCAGCCTCAGCTTCTCGAAGGACGGCAGTTTTGTAGTAGAAGATATTATGGATTTACTTATAGTAGTGATATGTCCTTGGAATTGTACAATTATATGTTCAAGAACATTTGTTCTATTTTGTGGATTTGCTAGAGTATTTGAGTCTTCCAGCTACAGATGAAGCTCATAGTTCTGAGGCGATCTGACTGTTCCTATAAAGGATAGAAAAGTCTAAAGAGCAGAGTAAATATTGGCTTTCATACAGACCACAGAAACAAAAGTATGAACAATGATCTTCCCCTTTTGCCTGGTATAGGAAAGGTTAATGAGAATCGCAAGGCAGAAAAGTTGTGTTTGCTCAAATTAATTGTAAAGAGCAGAGTTCCGGAAGGTATTGAGGGTATAACTGTTGACACAGTCATCTGCCAAGCAGGATTCAAACATTTACCATCTGGAGACTATTGCTTCCATACTTCATTCTGCTGAATTAAGATCCGGTAAACAGCTGCTCACTTGTGTCCCTGGTCCTTCCATGGAACTGCAGTGCTTATCTGGAATAGAGAAAAGCATGCAGAGATGTATTAAATATCTGTGGGGTCATAAAAGCAAAGCTGACTTCACAGCAGAGGTCTCCACTAATCTAGCTGGTTTTTAAAATGGATGTAACTTGATATAGAACAGACAGATCTCCTATTTATCACCTGCAGTGTGAGGCCTTTTAAAGGATGGCTTGTCCAAGCTAAAGTTTCAGGTGAAATAGGGATTTAAAATGCTAGTACAGTGATGGAGGCCTTCAGGGAAGTCTAGGACCTGTGGATTCAGTACCTTTCAGGAGCCCAAGGAGGCAAATAGGTGGTTTACCTTTTGTGGAGGCAACCCTTTCCTGTCCCTGACATGATTTCCCCTTCATTATATACCCACCCTTTTTCTTTGAACTCCCCCTTATCTATATACCTATTGGGTAACTACCCTAAACTTCTCATTTTTAGATGAGGAGGCATTGGGGCTTATTTACTAAAACTACATGGTGCAAAATCTGGTGCAGTTCTACATACAAACCAATCGACTTCCAGGTTTTATTGTCAAAGCTTAATTCAACAAGCTGACGTTGGAAGCTGATTGGTGCACACAGAACCTGGTACAGCTGTGCATGGTAGCCAGTTTTAGTAAAGGTCCCCCTTTATGTATCAGTCTGCCTTAAGGGGGGCTGGCTATGGAGCCCACTTATGACCAACTGACTAAAGCTGACAGGTTCAATAGAAACTGGCCGATGTGGCCCATGTCTACACCCACCTGACCAACTGACGGCTTCTGTCAAACGGGCGTGCTGGAAAAACCACAGCAGGTTACAATCTGTGTGGGTTCACAGATTCTGCTGGTCTTTGGTGAGATTTTTTTTTCTTATTCTCATTTGTAATGGGAATAATGGAGATCCGACTACACCGGTTTTCTTGTCAGTAATGTTAATTTCTCTTGGGAGAAATCCATAACTGTTATTGGAAAAGAAAATGCTAGTATGTTGGAACTGCTGCCAGATCTCTAGTTTTGTTTTGACCAACGTCCACATGGGTTAAGACCTGCTGGATTTTTGTCTGTCCCGAGCAAGGAGATTTTATCTGGTGGCAGTAGACTGTAACACAGGAAGGGATAGAAAATCTCTGCAATATTGAGATGTTTGTGGGGAAGGGTTAATGTTTCTAAAAAGTGACCAAGTCCTGTCTCCAGCAGAGGACATGAGGGGAAACTACCCAATGGGGATGTAGTCAGATATTCCCCCCTCAAAATGAAACTTTGAGGTGAAGTGAACACCAAGTTCATCTGCTTAGGAAACCTCCCAAATACCAGCAGTTGGTATTACAGCTGTGTTGGCCTTCTACACCCCATCCCCACCATTCAACTGGTACTATCCAGAGCTTCAATTACTGAAGTCTTGGTATTTACAGCTGAATGAGTGGTAAGACATTCTACTTTGATGGAAAGTAACAACCTGGGTTCCTGTTGGCTTACCTTGGACCGATTTCAGGTTCTTCCTCACATGAGATGCATGCTCGCTGATGCCTGAAGATTGGAGTTGGGGAAAGCATTAATTCTGTTAAAGAAACCCACTTTTCAGTGTTAATGCGGATTTAGTATTTCAGGATGGCAAATAACCACAATATTGTACACAATAAAATACGGAATGGTTACAATGAGCCAAAAAAAAAAAATTATATATTTAAGGCATTGGCTTGACATCCTGCTAACTGCATTGGACCTATCATGGACTGAGTTCACGGGGCCATGTTTCACACTACAGAGTAGTTCATTTGAATGACACCCCCCTCCTCCCGCACTAGGTAAAGTGTTAAAACTCAACTCCAGCCAAAACCTTTTTGGTTCTTGTTTGAGATAGAATGTAGAAGGTTTTATAATCCATTTTACATAAATTGGTGTTCTGATGGGAATATTTCTCCTCTTACCTGTTTTGATTGCCAGGAGAAAATTGGTAGACCTCTCCAGCAAGACCACCGATAGAACTAATACTTTGTCAAAAATTCCCTTCCCACTGAGTGATTAAAATAAATTGGCTGAGCTGTACGTTACCAAAAAATAAAGGGTGTAGGTCTAAACCGGCAGCACCTTGATTCACGGCTTTCAAATACTGGTGGTGGATGTAGAGGTAAAAGTGCAATTTGTTTTATGACTTGAGCGTTGGATGCCTGACATTGTGCTGTCATGCAACCAATGAAAATGAGTTTACCGCTCTGTGGCAAAAACTTAAATACCACTTGGTTATTTTATTTTTTTTTTTTTTTAATTGGCTAATAATCATGTTCAGTAAATTGTTGTTTTTCTGCAGCTTAGAGCAGTTGGTCTTTTGGGAACTGAGCTGATTGCCATAGATTAAAGTACACTTGATTGATAACAATGCATAAAAAAAAAAAATCAGAGTATTCCATTACCAATTTTTTATTTGACCTCTTTATAAAGTTTGAGTTTAGGTATGGCAGTTTTTACAAAGTTACATTGGTCCAGTGTGGATCAATGTACAGTATGTGCCATACCTCTGAAAACTAGAAATCACTGTAGTTCAGTGTTCTCTGGTTGGATGAGCTGGAGATTGGGGATGTCATTGCCCCACCGCTTTACCTCATCCGGTCAGAATGCTTTGCTTTTGTTGAAAAAATATAAAGTGTACCCTGATTGGCACCCATAGAAAACAACTGTATTCACAATGCAGCAGGGGAGCTGTTTGGTATGGGACCTGGAAGCTAGTGGAGATCACTGTAATAGTGTTGCCTACTACAGAGGTTTCCAGCTTCAACTGGGATCCCACCGGTATGGCACATGCTTGCTTTGGTCCAAACTGGACCAATGTAACTATAAAATGTTGCCATACCTAAACTTGAGCTTTAAATAATGGCTTCTGCCTTACGATGGCTAAGAAGCTAAATTGACAAAGAAGCTGGTAACTACATAATGGCCTCATGCATATGGACCTTCGGAGGTGTAAAATCTTTCCCAGGAAGCTGCAGATGGCACATACAGCCAGCCACAGAAGTAAGTGGTTGCTGTTGTACTCTGATTTATGTCAATGTGTTTGTGCATTGCCCTTTACACACGTGATGTATTTCTCAAATGCAGAGCTTCTGTCCTTTGGGGAAAATGTCTTGAACATGTAATATCTAGTACAAGAGTGCACAGCCATTAACATCAATGGTTGGCTATACACTCCACCTGTGGCTTCCTAAGTACAGAACAATTAGAACAGCTAAGATATTGGTGCCAACTGTATTGGTCAAAATATTGATGTGTTCTTTGTTTTTCTTTGTCTTTCAGGAGGGATTCCACAAATTTTGTAGCAAGCATGAAACTGGCCAGATACAAGATAACAGTAGGTTTTCCAATGCCTTGATGGCAGCTGCTGGTTTTGGGATTGCTGGATTGGTCTTTCTCCTGACCGTAAGATGAACTATCGAGGAAATACCTGCCACCAATGATCACCAATACCTTCATGGACCATCACATAGGACCTTGTTCTCAGCTGTTGTTGCCAAAGATTTTGCGTCGAGACTTTCAGAAGGATGGATTTGGCCGATGTGTAGCTTGGAACAATTGTGCACTGCCATTTCACTGTAAAATGTTCTTGTGGGTTTTTGTTTTTTAATGGGAGCACAAACTGCTTTTTTTTTTCTTTAAATGTTGTGATTGGTGAATTGGCAAAATTAGACCAAAAACAATTAAAATACCTTATATGATATCATGTAAAATGCACTAGATAGGGTTTTTGTTTTTCTCCTAAGATTTACTGGTAGCGTTTTAAATTGTAAGTGTAAAACATATTTGTGTAAGACAACATTTTAGGGTGATCTTACATTTTAGAAGCTTTTATAAAGTTACATTAGAATAATTGCCCCCCCCCCCCCCCTATTTAAATAACTTGGATCTAAGAAAATCATGAACACACAACAGAACTTATTAGAAGCCAAAGAGCAGGTTAGTATAGATTTGACACAGCCATTTTGACTTTGGCTTTCAAAGGGTTTAGCAGTCACTGATGAGAAAATAATTCCTTATTGGCTGCTTTGTGTTGCACTTTTCCTAAAGAAAAGTTGGTGTCTACTAGAGCACACTACTTAAAGTCCCACACGAATTTTGGGACTATTAGGTCACAGGTAACAAATATTTCCTGATCCAGTTCAGTGATGCGGAACATGCAGCTATTCTAGTCATGAGGATTGTACATTTAAATTAAGTAGCACATGGTCTTTCTTTTTAAACATTCATGGTAAACTAGTGGAAGTTTTTGATAAACGTTTCACTGCTAATATATTAATTTTAACCTATACTTGGCAAAATTTGTATTTATGCTATAATATATTCAGTTAGGCCAACCCATGGAGATCTGGCATCTCTGTGTAAGCATTTGTAACTTTTTTCCAAGGAAAAAAAAACAATAATATATTCAATTGTGCTTGATGTATGATCTGTACCATATTTTTATTTTTATGAACACGTATCATGTTTTAATAAATATCAGCATTTGCGATACACTGGAGCCTTCTGTTTTTGTGTTTTCCCACATGTTGTGTTGATATTCCACTTGCACACACTATTTAGATTGAAATGGTCATCCTGAAATAGTTTTTGCTTATTGGGTGTATAAAGATTACCTGGTATATCACAACTTTAACATCTAAAACTACCTTTCTCAGCCCATTCAACACACAGAAACCCTTTAAATAACTTTCTGGTTTTGGGAGCCCCTGCTAAAATGTACTATATCTACAATTCAAGGTACATTAGTGTGGTGGTCCATAGAATGCTCCTGTCACTTGTGGTCACCCCCTTACAGATGGCTAAAAGATTAATGGTGTCAGTGGGAATGTATCTGAGAGGTAGAAATTGCTCATGGAATGCTAGGGTGAACCTCTGGATGAATCCTAGGGTTCCATGGAACTCTGGTTGAGCAACACTGCTTTAAACGTCTGGTGGGGGTCAGGGCACAATGCATTCCATCTGTTGGGAGTTTGGTATACATAACTGCTTTGAGTGTTGCTCCTCAGTGCAGCTGGTATGATTGTTCTAAAAAATATCTAAGATACAATTTCATGCTCTGATCACCCAAACACTACAACTGTAAGCTTCTAACAAAATCACTGCGATGCATGAAATATTTTTTTTTTTTGCAGGCACTTGACACTGATGGTAAGTTATGCAGTGGACAAATGCAGACTGTAGTTTATACATTATACATAACTCAAAGACCAACACAATGTTCTTGCAGAATACATTGAATGTTTGAATAAAATTGTCATTTGCCAAGAGGGGATACCCTGTTAAATTAAGGGAATGGCTTTTTTTCTGTTTTGAAATCAAGGGGGTTTCAGAATTTTTTGTATTTAAAATACACTGCTCAAAATAATTAAAGGAACACTTTAATCAGAGTATAGTATCAAGTCAATCAACTCCTGGGATATTGATCTGGTCAGTTAAGTAGCAGAGGGGGTTGTTAATCAGTTTCAGCTGCTTTGGTGTTAATGAAATTTAACAGGTGCACTGGATGGGCAACAATGAGATGTCTGCCACTGGCTCACTGTGCTTTTCAGATGAGAGCAGGTTCACCCTGAGCACATGTGACAGACGTAAAAGGGTCTGGAGAATCTGTGAAGAACATTGTGCTGCCTTTAAAATCGTTCAGCGTGACCATTTTGGTGATGGGCCAGTGATGGTCGGGGAGGCATATCCATGGAGGGACACACAGACCTCTACAGGCTTGACAATGGCACCCTGACTGCCATTAGGTATCGGGATGAAATCCTTGGACCTATTGTCAGACCCTACGCTGGTGCAGTGGGTCCTGGGTTCCTCCTGGTGCGCATGACAATGCCCAGCCTCATGTGGCGAGAGTATGCAGGCAGTTCCTGGAGGATGAAGAAATTGATACCATTAAATGGCCGCCACACTCTCCTGGCTTAAATCCAATAGAACGCCTCTGGGATATCATGTTTTCATCCATCCAACGCTGCCAGGGTGCACCTCAGACTGTCCAGGAGCTCAGTGATGCCCTGGTCCAGATCTGGGAGGAAATACCCCAGGACCCTATCCATCGTCTCATTAGGAACATGCCCCAATGTCAGGCATGTGGGGGCCATACAAACTGAGTACCATTTGGAGTTGCTGCAATAAAATTTCAGCAAAATGGACTAGCCTGCATCAATTTTTTTTTTTCCACTTCGAGTTCAGTCCTCTGTAGGTTGTGGTGGTTTTTTTTTTTTTTTTTTTTTTGAGCAGTGTACATATAATGGATGTCACTCGGAATATTGCTGGAATTTGAATGTATTTAATACCTTTTTGGATGAATTAAGTGAGAGATTGACCATTATAGCTTCTCATTCCCCCTGTGGAGATTCTGATGAGACTTCCCTACTGTCTGAATACACTGATCAGCACCGATGGCTATAGCCGCCAGTGCTGATTTGAGAGAATTTATTCAACAGGTCGATTTTTACACAAGTTGGTCGAAAGCCTGTCCATACATGGATTAAATTTGGCAAGTCCCTGCTGAACCAGTCGATTTCTATCCATATATGTCTGGTTTAAATTGTGCATCTGTATGCAGATATGAATTTCAACTACATGTACCCATTTGCCTGGAGTTTCACTTTAAGCTACAAACCACCACTATAAAGAGTTATAGCTACTTCTTGTTTAAGAATTGCATAAAGTGGCTGCATATCCCCTTTACTATTTTTTAAGTTTGTCTTTTGGAGCATCAATTCCTGATTCTGAAATGAGAGGAGGAAGTGGTTTCAAAAATCTGTGAATTTTCTATAGGGGTTTCTCCTTAATGATGCAAGTTTCCACGCAATAAAATTTCAACTGCAGATAGCTATTTTAAATAGTTTCAAATCCTTCAGCACAAGGGACATAACATACAGTTTGTATGGTGTGTTCCTCGTGCTGATTCCTGTTATTACAAGCCTCCCCCTGTCCATGTCTTCTCCCCCTTTTTGGCATTGCTGTCTTCCAGGGTAGGGGGGTTAATACAACTAAGGGGCTGTCACAGGCTCTTATCAAAAGCACGACTGCCCACCCTTTCTGTCCAGCTCCACTTTATGGAAGCTGTATTATGACTTCTACGAATGGAATGTGATCTCTAAATGGAAGATGGATGGGTGATTGAATGGTCCACCGCCCCCATCCACAGATCCTGTTTCAGTAGGGCAGTAAGGGTAGGCATAAATGGGTCACTGATATGTAAATATCAGTGCTTTAAAAAAAAAAAAAAAAAAAAAAAAAAAAAAAATCACATCACTGCTACCAGCAAAAAGGGGAATTGGGGGGGGGGGGGGGGGGGGGGGGGGGGGGAGTTCATTTTCCCCAAGGTTGGGTTCAGCATCTGAACTTCTTTGAAGTTTGCCTGGTCCTGGGGCAGTTCATCTTATCCTCCTATTTCAAGTGGACACGGTCTTGTAGTTGCAGAAGTTTGTTTAGAGCACTCGTGTTTGATAGGTTCCCCATTCTCTAAGACAAGGTGGGTGTCGGGAACCCTCTCTTTTTAAACCATAGTTATTTTTGGTAACATGGGATTAGCAATATGGGGGGGGGCAGTATTGTCTTTAGAGATTTAAAATTGTCAAGAAATTAGGTGGCTAAAGACAGGTTCTCAATTTGCAGTGGATCAAAGAGCACATATGGATGTAGTGGTTTCAACACAGTCTCTGAAGTTGATTATTCAGTTAGTCCAACCAGGAGGCTTTGTGGTTTCAGTTGTTTTTAAGAAGGTGTACCTGAACATATCCATAGATCCTGCATATCAAGAATTATTGAGGCAGCAGCTGGTCAGTGATTCCAGTTAACTCCCCTGCCCTTTAGGGTTTTAGCATCCCCATGCACCTTCACAAAGGTGTTAGTAGTAGTGTTGCTAAGAAAGATGGGTGTAAGGGTACACCACTAACAAGACAGTTTTGCTGGCCCAGATGTAAGTGACTCTGGTTGAGCACAGAGACAAAGTGTAAATGTTATTGAGACTTTTTTGGTTACATTGTGAACTACAAAAATCATCTACTCCCAATGAGGGACTTGAGATATTTGAGTAGGCTTCAAAACACTCCAGAATATAAGATCTTTGCTGGACAACAAGTTACCAGTCAGGAAGGGAATAACAATTGCTCCCTATGCTTTGTTCCTACAAATGAGACAATAGGGTTGAGGTTTTTACTAAAGCTAGGTACATGTGGCTTGAAAATGCAGCCTGTACAACAGGGACTGTGTGTAGCCCTCCCTGTTTGACAGAAATTGTTCCTGCTGGAAAACCTTGTTTGATCTGCAGCCTGGAGCCAAACTTCACTAAGGATGGAACACACTTTCATGTAGAAGAAAAATAATAAAAACAGTATTTTTTTCCTGCATGTGATTAGAAGATGGAAGTCAGGAGAAGCTTCATCTCATTCACTAAGCAAAAGGAA